ACGATGCGGGGTCGATCATCAAACAATGCAGTTCCAGGCAAAAAGGATGAGGAACGGGCTAAACTGAAATTGAGAAGAATGTGACTACCTATAATGATTATGTCATATCCTATTTATTTGAAGCTTTTTTTTTTTAAAGAGTCTTGAATGGAAAATGATTGGCTGTCAAGAAGAAGCAGTAAGTGTAGTGGTGCAGAAAAGTGAGACTGGACAGGTCCTGTGTGTAAAATGCCCTAAAAGATTTCAAAAAATTTTTCACCAGGCTATCTCTTTGATAATAAAAAGAGCGAACCTCAGAAGTACACATGAACAGAGTCATGTTTGTGGAAGAACCTTGGAATTTTAGCAGTGAATCTTCTTTGGAAAGAGACTCCATCAATCCAGTGTTATTGCTGGAATAACTCCCCACTCCCCATTTGATAAACCTTCCTAACGTGTCCTGTCTCTTGGGAGCCTATCAAGAAACCGTTTTGTACTTGAATCGACCTGCAAATTGTTCCTCAGCTTGGCCTTATACGAAACTCAGATGCCAATCCAGTAGGCATTTATTCAGGTCCTGTGTTAGGCGTTAGCTTATATGTCCTTCTGAAATATTCCTCCCTTCAAGGTTTCTATTGACCACACTAAAAGGAGCATCTCTCACTGTGGAAGACAAGGGACATTTTCTAACCTCTTCTCTGGGATTACACTGACAAAAAGTATTGTGTCGCAAAAACAAACAAGCAAACAAACAAAACAAGTGTAAAGGTCTTGTGAAATTGTTAGACAAACTCTGCCATATTCCTGCTTATGAGAATCTTGATAATTTGGACCTCATTAATGTGGAATTTACTCCAAGTCAGACATAAGCTTGAAAAATTACATTCATTAATAACAAAACTAGGCTGCATGAACCATGCTTGACTTCCCCAGAGAACGTATTATTTGAAAGTTCATTCGGAGCCTATTTCTATATCAATAATCCATGTACTGTTTACTGATCATTTACATCTGATTATTAAAGCAGATCCAGAAGAAATTGACTTGCTAATTTCTAGTTATCCTGTTTTGGCTAAAATGTATAGCTGTACTTATTAAGCTAGTATATCTTTGAATATCCAATAATTTAGGATTTTTTTTCTATGATCTTGAGTAAAATCAGTCTAATTAATGAGACTTTTCTGTATTTCAGTGTTGACAGCTTTCTTTTCATGTTTGAATTTTACATTTATAAATTGTATTCTTATGAATAAAAACAGATTGCACAAGGGATTTGAAAATATTAATAAAAGACAACTATATGAGTGTTTAGTAAAGGAAGGTGAAGTTGCTTTGAAACTCACTTCCTAACTCTGGCTGACATCACAGGTGTGATGACTTATTTTATGTGTACAATTTGGCTGGGCCACAGTGTCCAGATATTTGGTTCAACATTATTCTGGATATTTTTATGAAGGTGTTTTTTAGATGAGATTAACATTTAAATTGGTAGACTTTGAGTAAAACAGCTTACCCTTCATGATGTGGGTGGTCCTTGTACAATCAGTGGAAGCCCTTTATAGAATAAGACTGACCTCCCCCAAGGAGGGTTTTTATGGAGGTGGTATCAGCCAAGAAGAATGGAAGGCTCATTCTCAAATCTACCTTCCTATCCTACTGAAGTCTGGGGTTTATCTAGCAGAACTAGGAAAGAGTTAAAATGTAGAAAACAGGAACTAAGGAGGGATAAGGAAGAGGAGTTGGTACACAGGAATGGGGAAGGGTGAAGGAAGAGGAGCTGGCAAACAGGTGAGGGCTGGCTCTCATTGGGTACAGTGACCAGGTGAGTTTCAATTTCTTGATATTATAGGCCTGAGGGTTGGTTTCCTGAGAAAGGAACTGAAATAAGACAAATGTAAGTTTCAAGCTTTAAGATCCGGAGGGGTTTATTCAAAAACCAGTCCAGATTTTGGACTTGTGCCTCCACAATTGCGTGAATCCATTCCTTAAAATCTCTCAGCGTCTCTCTCTCTTTCTCTCTGCCTTTCTCTCTCTCTCTTTTTCTCTCTCTCTTTCTCTCTCTCTCTCTCCATATATATATAATTTTTTTCTTTTGGTTCTATTTTTCTGGAGAAGTTTAACTAACACAACAGGCTTCTCAGAATATTAACTGAGAAAGTCCCTAGCACCATGATGGGCACATTTTAGAAAATGGTTGTTTAAAGCTTTCTAAATGCAGTGAGTTGGCTAGTTTTTAGGTCTGATGTGGAATGACATTTAGTACAATTTGTTTGTCTCTATTTTTCACTTTGATGTTTGCATAGTATTTAGCACAATGGTAATGGTTAGTAAATACATGCAAGAACTTTGTAGAACACCTGGACAAGAGGGGCAAAGTAGTCCATCCATCAAATCAGAGAGAAAATAAACTTTATTTTCTGGCAGGATTCCATTCACAGGAATGGTTTTAGGCAGTTTCTAAATGTCAGGCTTAAGCAAGCACATGTGAAAAGTGGAAGAGGATAGCCTTTTGAATTTAAATAGGAGAAAATGTTAATTTTTTATGTGTTTAAGGGAACTTTGCAGTATTTAACAAGCACAATTGGCCTTCACTGTACAGATCAGATAATAAGGGAAGTGCTGGTTTCCGTGCAGAAAACTGAAAAATATGTAATATTTGATCTCGGAAATAATACTCTTTTACTTCAAGAAAGTGATGTATAGGAAAATATAGGCAATATGGAAATATAGAAAGAAGTAGAGTAGGAATCTATTTTAAAAGATGATTGTTAACATTTTGAAATATTTTCTTTCAGTGTTTTGTTCTGTGCCTTTTCTTAGCTTTATTTATTTATTTTTCCCTAATTGTATTACATTGTACTATACAAAATAATCTGTGTTAGTTCTTTTTTTCTATTTATATGAGTATTTATTGGACATTTATAAAAGTGTGCCCAAATTGTCCCAGGAGAAGAGATAACTTTCTTGAAAATCAGAGCAAAAGATGGCACAAGAAATTTTTAAAAATTTATTAATGAGAACTCTAATTCTTATTTTAAAGATGTAGGATAAAATTCACGGTTAGGTATACAAATGGTCATTGTATAGGTAAAGTTTGGACCTCACTTTGGACCCCACTTCACTTGGTTTGGGATTAGGTTCACTTACTGTTGAAGTGTGTCCCCCCACCTCCCTTGGCAGTTTCCCACCATTGCCAATCCCTTTCTTGTAGTATTATGAGATGGTACAAATTTAAAAAGAAAAATCTGTTACTGTTAGAACATTTTTTCCTTCTGCACTGGTTTTTACCATCTCTCTGTGTGTGTCTCTGGACTATAAAATCATCATGGCATTTCAAAAGTGAGCAGCCCAGGCTAGAGGTCAAGTTCCCTTTTCTGGAACCAAACAGCTTGGTTCAGATCCTGACTCTGCTGATCATTCGTGGAGTAGCTTTGGGCTACAAAATGGGAATTATGAAACTTCTTCTCTCATAGGACTGTTGCAAGGATAACACAGAAAGTGGGAAAAACCCCCAAACTCTTAGACCAGTGCTTAGCATATTGTAAACTCTCAGTCAATAGCAGCAATTATTAGGTGCTATGAAGCGCCTTCTAAAATCATGTTACTATATCTTGTAATGAAAATAATACCCCCCAGGTAGCCAGTGCCATGCAGTAAGAGTTTTTTTTCATATTTCATTAATATATCTGTTTGTTGCAACAGTTCTGTGATATAGCCATTCTCATTTTGCAGGTGGGAAAACTGAGACTTGGGAAAGTTACATAGATTTCTCAAGGTCTTCCAGTGAGGAGGATAAGCCACTAGTCTTTCAGAATTTCCTTGTGGCCTTTAAAACAGGTTCAGGCCGGATTTGGTGGCTCAGCCTGTAATCCCAGCACTTTGGAAGGCCAAGGCGAGTGGATTGCCTGAGCCCGAGGGTTCGAGATCAGCTCAGACAACTTTGCATGACGCCGCCCCCGCCGTCTCTACAATCACATAAAAAATAGCCGGGTGTGGTAGCGTGAGTCTGTAGTTCCGGCTATTCGGAAGGCTGAGGTAGAAGGATTGCCGGAGCCCAGCAGGTCGACGTGCCTGCCACTGCAGTCCAATCTGGGTGAAGGAGTGAGACTCCAACTCAAAAATAAAATAAAACAGGCTCAAACCAGGTGTTCTCTGTCTCACCTGCATATGTATGGGAGCAGCTGCACTTGGAGAAGAAAGTGGATGGGAGAACAAGAAGGAGGATTGTAAAGAAGTTTGCTGTGGTCTATAGGGTATATGCAGAATGAGAGTTATTCTGAAATTTCTGAACTGAGATTAGGCAATGTGCATTACAGCTTTTATATCACTGTGTTCAACATCTTTATTGTTAAAAATAAATAAAAAAAGGGAGAACGTCTGTCCTCCTTGAGGAATCTTTTACTAGATGACACATATTTTCCTTCTTCAATTTTCTCTAGAAAATAAGTCATTGTATCTGAGAACGGTAGCCCAAAAATACACGTCTATTGTTGTGTATGATTATGTCATCTGCAAACAGCTTTTGAAAGAAACACCCAGGGTAATTTATCAAGGAAACAGCTTTTGACTCTGTCCTTTCCCTGGGGTTTATGAAACTTCAGCAGGTGACATTTTGGTGTTTAGCATGACAAGCCTGTGAAATTGCAACAGCTAGAACGTGGAGGGGCAAGTTCATTTTGCTAGTTCATAGATGAAAGAAAGTAACATACTGAGGCATTTTGAAGGCTCTGGGTCCTGGGCTAGGTGCTTTAACTTACATCTAATTTCACACACATCTAATTTCATTGTCAAAACATTTATTTATTTATCTATTTATTTATTCAGTTAATATTTAATAAGTGCCTACTGTTAGTAGATACAAAGTGCTGGGGGACCCCCCAAGGAAACCCGGAATTTATTTATTAAAAGTGTGTATTTATTCTTACATACTTAAACTTCAGTCATCTTCAAAGCATTCTCCATTTGATGCAATACACCCATTTAGACACTTTTTCCACTGCTCAAACCAGTCTTTGAAGTAGTCAATTTTGGTGTTTCTTAGTGCTTCTGCTGTTTTTCCCCCCCACCTCTTCCACGTCAGCAAAATGTTTCCCTTTCAGGACTTTTTTCATCTGGGGAAAAAAACAAAAAAAAATTCACGTGGGGTGAGAGAAGGTGAATAGGGAGAGTAGGTCATGGGGGTCATGCTGTTTTTGGTCAAATACTGCTGAACGCTCAGCGCAGTGTGGGCAGGTGCACCCATAAATCACCCATCATGAAATGGGTAAACATGTTGAAAGAATCTCCAAAAAAAATTTCACTGAAGCTGAACACAGCCTCTCACAACTCTAGCTGGTACAACAATGCTGAAGGGGTTCTTAGAACACTCACCTAGTAGGCAAAGCTGGTACTCCAAGTGACCTGTCCCTCCAAAAAAATTCCATTTTTGGGTGGTTCCCCCAGGTAAAGTTCTGGTTTTTCATGGTAAATACATAGAGCTAGTGAGGAAATCAGACACATGGGTATCCACTTAAATGTGCTGTAGAGGTACAGGGTGATGTGAGAATGACAAGTAGAAACCCCTCCCCTGATAGGAATGACCCTCCCTTAAGATTTTACAGTCAAGAACACTGTGGTGTAACATTGTTAAAATAACTGTGCTAAGTAGTACTGAGTAATGAGGCCAGGATTCCTTGCTATTTGTGTGGTTTCATGTAGTTTCTCAGAGGGCCTCCAAGGAATCCTTTGAAAAGTGGTGTGTTTCTGTTACCCAAAGTCAGGCATTTAGTTGAGGACCAGTTACTGGCTGCACAGAAAGCCAATCACTGAGACAAGTGTTGCAAGAGAATAAGCCTTTTTATTTAAGTGATATAAGCCAAGGAGAATGGAGGATTCATTCTTAAATCTGTCTCCCTGTGATACAGGACAAGGGACCTCAAAGTAGAACTCTGGCCCAAGAGGGCAAGTGAATTATTGACTTTTTCAGGAAAGAATTCAAGAGTGAACTGACAAAGTAAAGTGGAAGTAAGTTGTATTTCTATTTATTTATTTATTGAAAAGAGAAGCAAAAAGAAGTCTACTCCTTAGTCAGAGCAGCCCCCATACATTGCTGGGGTTTTAGTTGGGAAATGAAAGCAAGTTTATTGAAGTGACAGAGAGCAGGCTACATCCTTGGCAGAATAGCCTGGACTGGTCTATAGAAAGATCAGCAGCTGTACCTCGCTAGGACTTTGTTTTTATAGTTACCTCTTCATTATTTGCTAAGGTTGGATGGGATATTTTTGGATTTCCTAAGAAAGGAGGAGATTTTTAAGACCTGGGTTTCCTCCCAGTTTGTTACTATACATGGGCAGGATTGGAACTGTCATAACGTGGGAGAACGTGCCCTCTAGCCTGCTAATATATTATGATGAACATATAATAGTGGAAAGGTCAGGAAGTGGGCAAATGAATTGCTGTCTTGCTTCTAGGTGCCTCTAACTAGTTCTCAGTTGCATCCTGTTCTTCTCTGTGGGAGCCTAGAAAATCCAGGCTGTTCACCTGTCTAGAGAAACTGTCGTAGCTACTGGTCTTGAGAAATTAGCCTTGTTGTTTATCATAGGAAACTAGTCCAGATGAAGTCTTATCTCACCCATCTCACTGAAGTCAGGGGTTTATAAAGTAGAACTGGGGAGAGGTAAGGAAGAGGAGTGGTAAACGGGAATCGTGGAGGGGATAGGAAGAAGTGCTGGTAAACAGGTGGAGTCTGGCCTCTCGTCTGGATGTGATGATCTGGTGAGTTTCAATTTCCTGATACTATAGGCTTGAGGATCGGTTTCCTGAGAAAAGAACTCAGATAAGGCAAATGTAAGTTCCAAGCTTTAAGATGAGGAGGATAATTTATATGTTTATTTAAAAAACAAAAAAAACCAACAACCCCCCTCCAACCCCGTAACTGTTAGCTTTATGGGGAAGTTGAGCTGGTTTAAATTTCTAACTGTCTTCATGGTCACAATTAGTTTGCCTCATCTCTCCTTATTTCTAGTGTTGTCTCTTTTTTCTAAATTATTTTCATTTTTAATTTTTTTGTAGAGATGATGTCTCACTAATGTTTCCCAGGATAGTCTTAAACTCCTGGCCTCAAGTGATTCTCCCATCTAGGCCTCCCACAGTGCTGGGATTATAGGCATGACCCGCCATAGCCAGCTAAGCTTGTCTCTGTTTATCTTCTCCAGCTCTCTGCTGCTAATTCTCTTTCCTCCTCACCTTGTCCCTGGGGCTGAAGAAAGCGTAAAAATAATTGAAATAAGCCGGGCTCGGTGGCTCAGCCTGTAATCCTGCGCCTTTGGGAGGCTAAGGTGAGTGGATTGCCTGAGCCCGCGGGTTTGAGACCCGCCTGGGCAGCGAGACCTCATCTCTACAATAAATCAAAAAATCGGCCGGGCGTGGTAGCGCATGCCTGTAATTCCGGCTACTCGGAAGGAAGGCTGAGGCGGAAGGATCACGGAACCCAGCAGGCGAGGCTGCGGTGGTCGGGAACGGCCACTGCACTCCAGTCTGGGCGACAGAGTGAGATTCCAACTCAAAAAAAAAAAAATAGCATAACTAACCCTAAACATAAAACAAAGAGAGTGAAACCACTGTTCACAGATCTTCAGTTACTCTTGCCTGCCTGTAAGCTCCAACAGTGGGTAAACTTGGCTTCTAGATTTTCTTCTGTTAGGTTTTGTGGTAGAAGACATCAAGGTTCACAACTACCAAATATTTCCTATTCATTTAAGTAGTTTGATACGAACATAGAGAGTATGGCTATGGAGTTTTTTTGTAATGGGCTAGTATCAACTATGTTAAACTTTGCGAGTATTATGGTCTCTACCACAATGATACTGTTCTGCTGTTGTATCACCACAGCTGTCACAGACAATTCCGAAGCAAAGGGGCATGGCTGTGTACCAATACAACTTTATTATGGATACTGAAATTTGAATTTCATGTCATTTTAGCGTGTCATGAAATAGTATTTGCTAAAAAAATTTTCAGCCATTGTTAAAATGTACAAAAACAGTTGGTGGGCTTTATCTTATCCATTGGACTAGTTTCTCAACCCTTGCTGAAGGGCATTGCAGGTATTATTCCAGGTTCAGGAACTAGCCCTGCATTCAAATTTCAGTTCTACAAATCACTGGCTGGGTGACCTTAGCAACTTTATCCACTCCTCTGAGTCTCAGTTCATACTGGCCCTCATTTTTTTGTCAGTGTGCCTGGCCCTTTCCCACTTTAGGCCATTATACTTTGTCCTTGTGATAACTTCTTGGAATGGTCTTTCCTCAGGACTTTGGGTTATGGGATTTTTTTCATTAATCAGGTCCATCTCTGCCTAAAGTGGCCATCATCTACCTCAGTCACTCACTAGCTCATTATTTTGCTTTTTTTTCTTTCATAGCATTAAGTCTGATTCATTTCATATCATATTCTCTCATATTCATTTACTTGTTTTCCCATTTGTCTAGCTCTCCCATTAGAGTAAGCTTCATGAATACAGGCAGATTTTTTAAAACTTTATTTATCATTATATCCCCAGAGCCTAAAACAATATTCAGCATATAGTCAGTGCTCAATAAACTTTTGTGAACAAATGAATTAAAGTGTAAAAACAGATAGTTTCTACATCATAGGATTTTGTTGAAGATTAAATGAAAGGACACGTGCTTGGTACAAAGAAAAAAACTCAAGAAAGTTTATTTTTGCTAATAAAATTGTTATGAATAGTTTTTGAGAAGGGGATTAATAAATAATAAAATAATAAATGAGATGTGTTAAGTTATAAAAGTAATTACAACAGTAGAGCTTTGGTGCTCTTAGAACAGGAAAGGAATGTAAAGATTAGTTATCAAGATGGTCTCTTGCCTTTGTTCATCCTCACTTTTTGCACATAAAGCAACCAGTTCTAGAAGAGTTTATACAACTTGTTTGGATACCAGTAGGTTTGAGAGGGTTTCCTGAAGCAGGGGAGATCCTCAACCTCAGCCCAGTACCCAGGTTCATGACACCATGGCAAGAAAGAATTCAAGGATGAATCAAAGTGAAAGTAAAGGAGTTTTATTGTAAAGTAAAAGTACACAGTCAAGAGAGGGAGTGCTGGCATACTTGAGAGAGTGATTCACGCCTAATAGAGTTTGGGGTTTTTCTCTTTTATAGCTGTCTCTAACTAAGGAATATTATTGGGTTTTCTGTGAAAGAGGTGGTGATTTCCTGGAATTGGGTACCTTTCTCCTTTCTGTCCTTATATGGTTAAAACTGGAACTGCCATGGCACAAGCTCTGTCATTTACTATGATAATGAGAGTATAATGAACCTGAAGGTTGCTTGCTGGTCAAATCCATTGCCATGTTGGATCCAGTTGGTCTTAACTGATTTGACTACATTCCATTTTTTTTTTTTTTTTTGCAGAGCCTTATCATCTCTTTGTCTTTGTAGATGGTTTTTAAGAGTTCCTTCTTACCTGGTCATGTGATTTATTAACTGCTGCATGGTATGTTTTTTCATCCTTCTGCTACCACCCAGTACTATTCCTATCTCAGTTTGAGGACACACACTTTTGAGAGCTTGCAACAAGCATGATCTCTCTTTCTCTCTATCTATCATCTCTATTATCTATCTATCTCTATTATCTATCTATCTATCTAGCTGTCTAGCTATCATCTAGCTATTGTCTACCTATCCATCTATCCATCCATCACACATAACTAACTAATTTGTATGTTTTGAGGAGGAATGAGGAAGGAGTGTATTAGTTTTACATTGTTTTGTAACAAATTACCACATACATAGTGTGTGTAATCAAAACCAATTTACTATCCCATTGTTTCTTAGCTCAGCATGGCTCAACTGGTTTCTCTGCTCAGGGTCTCATACTCAAGGTGTCTCAAGGTGGCTGCAATCTCCTCTGAGGCTCTGGGGAAGAATCTTTTTCTAAGCTCATTCAGGTTATTCTTAGAATTCAGTTCTTTATGACATAGGACTGAAGTCTCCTTTCCTGGCTGTCAGCTGGAAGCTGCTCTCAGTTACCATAGGCTGCTTGCAGTGTCCTGCCAAGGACCTCACATTGTAACAGTCAGGGAAGCCCCCCTCCTACTTTGAATGCCTCTCTCCT